TGCAACCAAGGTATGTAGGTTGAAATTCCTTAGCACAAAGAGCTTGGGGAAATAAATTACCAGCATAGTAATGAAGCTGAGCATCTTGGAAAGGAGCTATTTAGGCAGCAAGGGAGTCTACCAAAACCCCCAGATTCTAATAGAACTGTATGAATGACCCTGGGGAATGAGGGGAAAAGATGCTGCCTAGGAAACAATCAGGCAGAAATCCCAGTGGTTTAGTTGTCAGAGAAAGAAATTCAGAAAGGACCCACCTTAATGGATCAAGCAGTTAAAAGTGGCAACAGGAAGTCTGTACTTCAGACTTGCAAGATTTTATTAATGTACCCTTACAATAAGGTAGAATTAGTTCATCTAGTCATGTTTCCTGTCTGGCATAGCTAGGAGAACTGACCCAGCACCCAACACATGCAATCTGTGAAACAAACATCAAGTCACCATCACATTTTCATGGAATATTAACATCAGCCATCCTCTCCTGTTCTGGAGTTGAGATTAAGTCAGATCTTTCTCTGACTTAAAATCTAACTAGGCAGATTTTGACAGAGGAAGCCTCTATCCATATCTAACCAGGCCTTTATAAGACATGGCAGAGCTTTTTGCTCCTTCAGCATTGATTATGAAAGATCATCCATGCCACCAGAGCTTTCTGCTTAGAACTCATTGGACCCAGCCAAGTCCAAGGCCCCTGCAATCTCTTTTTATTGCAACAGATTGATCCCTAGCTTCTATTCTATTTTCCTCTAAGTCAGCGGTTCTCAACCTGTGGGTCGCGAACCCATTTGGGGTCGAATGACCATTTTACGGGGGTCGCCAAACAACGCGATCCGCCATTTTTTTCTCAGCTGGTGGCACCGCGCATGCGCACCGCACATGGGGGCGCCGCCGCACATGGGGGCGCTGCGCATGGGGCGCCACCGCGCATGCGCACCGCGTCCTTATGACTGGGATCACTGGTATAAAAAGGTTAAGAACCACTGCTCTAAGTGTTAGTTTCTCCCCATTTTTTTCACACTTTCAATTTGCCTAGCTACCTCCTTGACCACTATCATTCTCCAACTACGTATGTATGTGTGTATGTATGTATACACATACACACACGCACACACACACACACACACATATATATATATATATATATATATATATAGAGAGAGAGAGAGAGAGAGAGAGAGAGAGAGAGAGAGAGAGAGAGAGAACTGGCACACCTACAAATGGAAGCAAATGTGTTATACCTTTATATCCTGTGTCCACAACTCAGCTGAAACACACCCAATTTTACCAAGGTGCTGCTTGTGAGCCAAGGCAAGCTCAAGCATGTTCGGCATCTGCTAAACTTTAATAGTGGAAACTGCTAGATTCAGAAGTTTGAATAATGCCGGGCTTCTAGTATGAATATGACAATGTTATTTTCAATTTGTTGTGCTTTGAGAGTCTGTCATGCTTTATTTAAAGATTCAAAACAAATTGTTCCCTTCCTCCCCATCTTCTGCTCCCTTCCCCCCCATCACTGAGTTATAACCTGTATTTTTTCATGTAATTTTATGGTAATTTTATACGTTTATACAGATTTAGATATAGATAAATGATTTTATTTTGATGTTGTAAACCACCCAGAGTCACCTTGCAGCAAGATGGAAGACAAATTTAATAAATAAATAAAATCAGAAATGTGAACATTGATGTTTTATCTCAAATTTGTGCACAGTATTATTTTTGTGAAAATTAATATATTCCATCTAGAATATTGGCAAGGAAGGCACCATTTTTCAAATTCTAAAAACACAAGGAGTGTTAAACAAAAGAAGAAAGAGATCACAATTTCTCAGTAGAAATTGCCCATTTAAAGGTAGAGGAGGCTATGCAATGCTAAATGTAATTGTAAAAATAAATATTTCAATTATAGGAATATTTTAGCACGTCATCTCTAGTCTAGAATAATGATATTAGTTAAAAAAACAACTTCAGTGGATGGTTTCCAGGGAGGGAGGGAGGGAGGGAAGGAAGGCGATGGGAATGAGGGAGGGAGGGAGGGAGGGAGGGAGGAAGAAAGGAAGGAAGGAGGGAGATTGGAATGAGAGGGAGGGAGGGTCTGAGGGAAGTCCTGCTTTAGCACTTGGCCATCAGCAGCCCTGCTGCCCTTTCGCCATCACCTTGCCCCATCTACTAGGCTACCCTGATGGTCTCGGATCCTATCACTAAAGATGCTTTGGTTACAAATCTGGGTCTTCTCACATGGAGAAGGAATGGGCCTCCCTCTGACCCAAACAGTTTGCCCTCTTGCACCCACCATAAGCAATTTGGCCAAGGTGAGCGGGCACATCAGCAACAGCAGCCTTGACGAGGAGGTAAGCACAGTCAGGTGACCCCTCGGGGAAGTGAAGCTGGACTAGGTTGGGCTGCAGGGCCCTGGAACCCTAGGAGCTCAAGGGTGGGGCTGGGTGCTTGCCCTCTGCTGCCCAGGGCTCTGGGCGCCCATGCCACTGTCTGGGAGTCCCCTGTGCGGCCCAAGAGGGATGGCAAGGCTCCTCCAATGGACCATGCCCTGGTGCCAACCCCAGTCCCACCCCCTCCACCAGAGACCCCTGGATCTCCCCACACCCCCTCCACCAGAGACCCTGGATCTCCCCACAGCCCCGCCTGCACCACCCACAGGTGCCCCGTAACCTGAGCAACATTGAGCTGGCCATTGACTTTGCTTGTCAAAAGGTTGCAAAAGGGGATCACATGACCCTGTCATAAATATGAATCAGTTGCCAAGCATCCGAATGTAAATCACGTGACCCTGGGGATGCTGCAACGGTCATAAGTGTGAAAAATGGTCATGTCACTTTTTCAATGTCATTGTAACTTCAAACAGTCACTAAGCAAACTGTTGTAAGTGGAGGACTGCCTGTACTTTTATCACTTTTTCCTTTTTTTGTCATCAAGTTTTTGACATCTTGCTAGATGACTGGTGGTACTCAAATATTGCCATATCCTAAAAGTGGTACAATCTGTGAAAAGGTTGAAAAGCTCTGCCTTAACTGGAGAAATAATGAGAGTAATCACCCTCTGGCAACTCCACAGTTTGAGTAAATCCCTCAAAGCTGCTAAAGACTAGCTGCTAGTCAAATATTTTAAGATTTTCAGAACAACCTAGAGCAGGGGTGTCAAACTGCTGGCCTGTGGGCTGGTTGCATAATGCAGAGGCCATGCCCACCCCAGCTCCGACAATGCAAAAAAAGTTGCAATACATTGCAACACGTCACGTGATGAGTTTGACACTCGTGATCTAGAGGGTAAACCTACATTCTGTTTTAAAACTACACTGTTTCACTTTTAAAAAGAGCACAGTATTTGTGGTATTAATGGAAAGAAGCTGAAAAGTTTAATGCTTTTCGGTTTAAAAATAATTACTTATTATCTGGCAGAGAAAAACAGATTTGTGGAAGAGAGCTCCACAGAACTATCCATAATTAAATACAAAATCAATAATGAGGTAAACTGGACAGAATATCACTTTCAGTAACTGCAAATCTCACTATTCAAAAATAGCTAAGGAGAAACAAGAGTTAACAGCATAACAAAAAAGCCCCAAACCCCATCCAGTCCACATCCTGTTTCCCACAATGACTAACCAGAAGGGAAGCTCCAAGTCAGGTCATGAAGCAGGCGCAAACACACACACACACACACACACACACACACACACACACACACGGGGGGGGGGGTGTATGCACGGATGCTCCCTGTTACTTAATAATACACTTAATATGAGTCTGCAGGCTCGGTACGTGCGATATTCAATTACAGTCTTTGGTTACTGAGAGCTAACCTACATATGTTGTAAGTTACTAAATCCAATTTCCAAAATGATTATTTCAGGTCCAGGTGACAAATTGCAAACAGTTAATAAAACCATACAAATCTGAGGAAGGGAGTAACATGAGGTGTATGCATATTTGGTTTATGGATTTGTAGCTGAAAGCAGAGCAGTATTCCTGAAGTTGAAGTCCACGGACCTTAAAGTTACCAAAGTTGTGTTAGAATCTTCAAGGTCGCCTGAAAGCCAAGTATTTATTCCTATCGGGAAGTACTACCGGTCGCTTCGACTTATTAGCAGTGTTCTCATGTTATCTTAACTTAGATCACTTAACCCAATTTCTTGGAATTATAGGACAGAGCTAGACACCACCCTATTTGATCTGCAGCGATTCTCACAAATGCTAGTCAAAAATACAGTTGATCAAGAGTGGTCAGAAGAAGGTGCAGACAGCCCCAATGATTTAAGATGCTTTTTATTGTCCCAGGTTTCCTGCTGCCCTTCAACAATTCAGATTTCTTGGTACCCGTTTCCATTCCCTCCCTCCGCTTTCCATTCTCCGGGAAATAAATACTACACCATCCTGTTCCATTGACGCTTTTGGTATATACTTTATGCTTTTCATGAAGCATTTCAATGTTGGCACCCAACTGCAGTCCCGTTTCCAGCAAACAGAGTGAGGAAAGAGAACGCTCCCGGATTGACCAGCCATCCATTCCCGGCCAACCCAACCCACGTGATGAAATATGCCGCCCCCCCCCCCGGAAAGGGTGGCACTTTCCTGGGCAACCGACAGGGCTTTGCCGTGACGCGCCCCTCCCCCGCTCCTGAACTGGGGCGGGGAAAGTGGTGGCGGGGCAAGAGCCCAGTTAAGCAAGCGGAGCAAACGGCCAGGTCAAGGCGCCAACAGGTTCCCTTCGCTTTCTGTAAGCGCGCCCTGGGCGCTTCAATCAACCAGCCCAGCCCAGCCCGGCTGCCCAACCCTTCTTTCCTTCCTTCCTTCCTTCCCTCTCTGCTTTTACCGCGCAGACCGAAACTACGGATGCCGTTCCCCGGCGGCTTATGGTGGCTGCTGTGCTGCAGGCAAGGCTTCACCTTGCTGCGACGCGACTACTGTGAGGCAAGCAAGGGGGTGGCCGGTGAAGAAGAAGTTGAAGAAACCTTTGAATTACGCAGGCAAGGCGATGAGGTGAGCTGTGCGCAGGCGGGAGCAACCTCAGAGCTTCGTTCCATTCGTTTTGGAGTTCTTTCGAGAGCGAGAAGGAAAACAATCTTATCATTTTTGTGGTCTGGGAAGAAAATGCGTCCCCCGGTGCATTTCACTCCCCTCTGCTGGGGACTCAAAAGATCTTATGTAACTACTAAGGATGCAATAATAAAAAGAGTAAAGTGGTCCTTGGAAGTTTTTCCGGTTTGGAAGATCTTCTATATTACAAAGTATCAACCTAGAACGTGCTTAGTGGCATCCATACATTCTTCTACTGCTTTATTTTAAAGAGTTGCAAAGAAACATGCCTTCATGTCTTACTTAGCCTCATGTCCTTAAATGTACATTGTATTACAATATAGTTATTATTAATAAGATAACTTCATATGTTCAGATTCATTTTTTGAAGAAATTTTGTTATTCTGGTGGAGGAATTCCATTTTTTTGTTAGTTTAATTCTCATCCTACTTTTTCTCCCTTCTAATCTGATTGATTTTATCAGTATTAATGCACAAGGATTTTATTATATCTCGGTAGCTAATTGCCTTCCTTCTGTTGCATATAACAGATAAATTGAGAATTGAAGTGTCAAAATCAGGTTTGGATTATCTGGGGATGGACTTATATGCAGATATGTGCAGCACATTCTCTATTTTTTTGTGAGTCAAACTTGCTTAGATCAAATTAACCCCTAATGGAGAACCTGTGAGCTTCTAGTTTTGCTGTATGGTAACTCCCATCATCATTAAAATGGACTACATTGGCTGAAGCAAAATCCTGAGGGTATGTGTTCTTTACCTTTCAATTAATCCAATTGCAGGAGTGGTTTGCTGACTCAGATGAGCAGAAAAATTAGTGTTTCCTCATATTTATGCCATGCCTCTGCCATGAGTTGTATAGGACAAGTTGATGTCTTGGATGCTTGGAATTTCTCCCTCCACCTTTGTTTCCTTTTAATTATGACAGAGGGTCAAAGAGCTCAGCCTCAGAGTGGAGAGCAAGGCTGAGTGTTGATTGGCATGAACAGCTATCATATAGAGCCCACCAAAATTTTACCAAAGTGTTCATAGTAAGACCTTCAGGTCTCTCACCCCATATTTTGTTCTGTTATTCTTTTTCCCCTAAGAAGCAGAAAGAAAGTTCCTCTGCTACCGCCATTTGAATTTGGTCATTCCCTTCAGAAAAAATAGCCAAATTAGCAAGATGAGCTATTTCTTCCATTCTTGTTTACTAATTGTCTGAAGGGGCATGGGTATGCAAACAAGCATTTCTTGCACTCTTTAAAGCAGTCACATCTTTTTCTAGAGTTTTTATGATCTTGCAGTTAAAAATAGCTGCTATATTTGCACTCTGTTCCAAACTGGGTTTGGGGAATCAAATACGAAGCACAGAAATTATCCAGAAATTACATTTCATAGATACTTTCTACCTTCTGAGCTTAATATTGGTTTTACCACATTTCTAAAATCTTTCTCATTCCAATCAAGTTCAGATTGCTGAGCTCTAGTTCAAATAAATCCATAGTTTAATGGCATGATGATGCCTATACTAGGGCAGAAAAATTCAGCCCCCAAGGAAATATTTCCTTTGTCTGGATAATCTTTTTCATGGCGTCACTTCTTGGCACAGTAAAAAGGCCAAGCTGTCCTTTCTGACAAAACTAAATTGAGGTGTGGGTGGCTGACTGGAGGGCTGGCTAGTTTTAAACCCCAAGGATCTTAAAAAGTTCATTTTAATTCAGAGCTCATATGTGCTGGATATATTTTCTTTTCTGGAGTTTCTCTTTCAGCCTTTATTTCTTAGATAAAAAAGGCACTGTCAAGATGAACGAGACATAACATGTTGAGACAGTTCAGTATAGCTGCTAGAAGAAACTGGCCTGGAGTTCCTTTGTTTTCTACAAATCTGCTATTAGAACGCCAAATGCGGGGGAAAAAAACCCTTCTTTTCAGAGGATCATCTGTCTTGTGGATAGTAACCTTGACCGGTGGGTAGTAACATTGACCAGCCATCCTATCCCTGCCTTTAGCTGCATTGCAGATTTGTGCCCTTTTACTTTCCCCCTCGCTCCCCAACCACCGACCGAAGAGAAATTATGAAACTATATGTTGATGGGAGACAAAGTTGCCTTGTGTTAGAAGCATGTTACAGGGAAGTGCCAAGTGGGAGATGTGGTGTTGGGCGCAAGTTGATTTTGGAACATTTCCTCAACTCCACATTGTCTTGCAGTAGCTGAGGAGCAGTTGCTGCTTAATCCCTCTGAGCAAGAACATGGGAAGCATATGTAATCAATTAAAATAAAAGGATAACAAATGTGCCAAATCTAGTCTATACCCACCACAACAATGGGGTTATTCTGAGAATTAAGAGTCTTGACAGAGCCCATATTATAGTTAAAATGATTTAATTCTGGATAAGCTCCCAATCCATCCTCCTGTTTCCAAATGATCAAATAAAAAGTTCTGGGAATCAACAGCCCTCCTTCGCTCTTCCTTGATATGAAAGGAAGAGTGCCTTTGAAACTACCATTTTGACTTCGCTCTAAGACCCTCTGATAAGACTTTTTTTCATAAATTTTCATAAACTCTTTTAAACCTATGACTGGCTGAGGATTTCAGGAATAATATCCAGAGTGTATGGTAAATGGCAGGTTAAAGAAAACTGATTTTAAACCCATGGCTACTGCAACTTCTGGTAATGTGCTAAATTAAATATACAATAATTTAAAAATTATTTTTGCTACTTCTGAATCTTTTGCCAGCTTAATAAAAAGATTCTGAATATTTCTCCCTCTGTATCATGCTTATTATATAAACCCCTATGACTACCCCGCTCTTATCTTTTTTGACCCCTAAATTATATGCTCAAACCGTGCTGTCTGTGGCTGCCTTTTGCGTGAAGCTACTAGGATCTTCTGGTAAATGTAAACTTATCATTTGTCATGTTGGAGAGATCAGAAACTGAAGTCAGTGGTTGTCAACTAGACTTGCTGAAGTATCGCCTATTCAGAGGGCATCTGCCATACTTGAGATAGGATAGACCATTGTCTCACCCCCACACATTTTTTTTTCCAGGAAGCAGAACTAAAAGATGGAGCAAATGGAAACACAGACTCTTAATTTTAATCAGAAAACAGAAACTTGGAAATAGATCTATGCGTATATGCTATTTCCACCATTACTAATTGCTTAAAAAGGCAGGGTTTTGTTTTTGTTTTGTTTTTTGGTACTTTGGAAGCTATTGTATCCTTGGAAAATTTCTTCCTGCCATTGTTTCCTTTATAGAAAGGCAATACTCTATAAATCTTTTAACATTTGAAGTTTTGATCAAGCATTCCTTTCAGTAGTTTTATATTCTAGGGCTTTAATCTGAGGGCTTTTTTTTGCATGATAAATAGAAGTTCTTGGATTTTACAGCCCATACAATTCTATTTGGCAGTTCTACCAAACAAAAATAGTGCCATGCTATTGCACTGTTCAAATATAATTATGTAAACATAGTCTTTATCTAGATTCAGGAGCAACTTTCTCACTTGAACTCATTTTATATTTATTGATAGTTTTCCTCACTACTGAGTTTTTAAAAAGTACATTCTTCTCAGTATTCCTCATATAGTCTTTATTTAAATTCAAATTTAAATGCATTATTTTCGTTCACCTTTTCCTGTGTAAAATTCCAAAAAAGGGGAATATTGATTTGAGGCTGAATGATGTCTATTTTAATTTCCTGCTCATTTTTTTAAAAATCCTAAGAATAACTGGTTTTTCAAGAGAAGTCCTGGTTCAAGAGAAGTCATGGTACTTTAAAAATAAATATTTTTTACACCGTAAGTCTTTATTACAGATAAACAATTATCTACATTGGATCATTAAAACCCTCTGCTATGGGTATTTGAATAAGCTGCTCTGAATTTTATAAATCAGAATTCCCATCTGTAATAGAATGTCTAAGCCTGTGAGGAGGCTTTATTATTTTTCCCCTTAAGCCCTTTTGTCTCGGCATCTCCTATTTTGGAGTAGCAACTTGTTAATTCCTGCTATCACCACTTCTTTATCTCCGGGAACTTCATTTGTCATGTTTTCCCCTAACTTTGTTTTATGAGAGAAGTAGGGCTCTCACAATCTGTGCTGCCTTTCTGGTGAGTGAATGATAAAAATACAGGAAAGCAGCACAATTTCATAGCAGAACCTCCTTAGAGGTTTGTGTCTAAATAAGATTCATCCCCTTTTCCTTCTTTGAAGCCAATCCCATTAAATATAAACAAAATCAAATTTAACCTTTTTTTAAAAAAAAGAGAAATACAACATGCATACTCTTTTTAACTTTAAATATAAAAATGCAAATATTCATTGCTATTAAAGATAAATAACAGCTGTTCAGATACCAATACTGTGGTCACCAATTTAAAAGTTACAAAGAAAATAAAGTGCTCTCAGTAGACTATCAGATGGTACTGGGTTGTTACAAATTGCACACATTCTTTCCTTTTCTAGCTATTTTTTGGTGCAGTACTAAGTCAAGCCTAATGTTCCCAGTACAAATAAGGAAGCTGAATGTGTAACATTAGCCGTTTGTCCATGTCAGGCTGGACATAGTGATATTTATTTTATTTATAATCTGTATGCAACCAAGAGCCATGCCTTGAAAAGTGGATTGTATGTCAGAGCTTGAGAAAATGTGTATTGTATATCTGAGCTGGCAGCTTGTGCAGGTGACAGTCCCAAACAATAAATATACTCTTGTCAGGTAGGTATCTTCATTTAGGTAAGAACTGGACAACATCTGTTTTACTGGGTATGAGCATTATCTGCTTATTTTCAGTGCTTTTGAGGGAACCGTGCATAGAGAAAGAGTTAAAAGTAAATAATGACAGTGGCGAGGATGAGGAAGCTGTTCTACAAGCCGTCAGACTTCCTCATCCATTTTTTTCCTGCCATACATTGTGTCATTGTTAGCTTTGAGTGTATCAGAATTATGATTCATATTCATTGTTTTAATGAAAATCTGTAGAGCATCCTAAAGATTTGAAGTTTCGTATTTCTCTTTTTAATTGATGGGAATTGAATTCCAGACAAGTTACTGTATATTTCTGACAGAAGCTTTTTTTAGAGATATCTGCTTCCTAAAAGTAAAATGGCTGTTAATTGGCTGCAGCAGGAAGGACAGCAGGTAATTGAAGGAAGCATATATTTCAACCCTCATATTCTACAAGTTATAAGAACAATGTTGAGGAATCAGAACATGACCAAATTTTAATACGATATAATGTTATACTCTTGATTTTGATTCACTCTGTCATAAAACTGAAGAACTGTAAGGTTGTACATATTCAGCATTACTGAAATGTCAGGTTTGTTTTGGTCCACTTACAAGTTACAAATTCAGTAATTAATTTCAAACAAAGCTAGCCTGTTGTAAAGTTAATCCCATTGATGTTTGGATATCAGTATCTTTCCCTCTCATGATAATAAAGACATTTACATCATACCTGTTTTCAGAAGTGCATCTTTCTATTCATCCTCAGTCTTTTTTTTCCTGCTTTCCCTCCTCAGAATGAAAATAATTAAAATCAGTTAGATGGTGTTTTACAATAACAAGCTCCATGGTGACTCAGGGGAACTGGAGCATGAGAGATGTGAAAAGCACTATATAAATGCAAAAGCTAAGTTTCAAACATGTGAGACTATAAAATGTTTTATAGTTTTATAGTTCTTGCTAAGTGCCTCAGACATAATTTAAATAATATTTTAGAGCTTATAATCCAGCTATATCTGCAGTTCAGTATACAATTTTTAGAAGTGAATTATGATGGGAAAATTAATTTTTGCAATTATTTCTTGGACATTTTTATTTTTTTCAGTTCTGATGTTGTTTAATCTTTCCATGCTCTGTTGATGGTTGCTAGTCTCCCTTACAGAATCATGATGAGCTATGCCAACTTGAGCCAAGTTACAACAGGTGTTAAAATGCCACAGGACAGTTGGTGTCCTGTCTATTAAGCAGTACCTGTTGCAGTAGCTCCCTGCTTTTCCCTATTCAGTTTGACTTTATATATAGTCTTTCTCTCTCTCTTGCTCACTCTCTCTCTCTTTTTCCCCCTCCCTGCAGCTTAGAACAAATCCAGCAGCATTTTTTTTATTTGTGGCATCTTTGTGGGGACTATGTCTAGACTGTATAAAGTTTTAGATCCTACAGTTCCATCAAACTCTCACGACTGCATCTCAAACTTGCTTACAATTTTTGCCAACATTAGGGAATTTACATGAATTATGTGCCTGAGACTATATTTTCCTGTCTTCTGTTAGGACTTGCCTGCTCCTTCCCCCTCTCCCCTTGCAGGGGAAGGAAGCATTGGCTACAATAGGACTTTTGGGGGCGGCTGTATCTTACCCAACAGAGTGCTTGTGCAATTCTGAAGAGACTGCAGCCCAACACCGAGGTCAGCTGAGGATACAGGAACTTGTTCAGCTGCTGCAGCTTGCAGGATGTGAGAAGGTTGATTAGCTAGACTTTGGCTTGGGAGGGGCAGTAGTGCAGACTAGGTAGCCTGGGAAAGCTGCAAATTAATAATATACTTCCTTGTAAGGTTGGGAGGCGTCCTGCCTATATGAATATTATGTATGCGTTCCCATTTTCTGTTTAAATAACCTCTTACTTTTGAATGTATAAATGATGAAATTGCAGAACAACATATTACCTATCTTGGAATTCTAATTTCTAACTCTTTCAGAATGTCTTCTGCCCTCATTCTCCTTAAATCTAATTCTCATGCTTTTTATGTTCAATTCTGAATGAATCCTGATGACATTCCTCTTCTTTCTCTTTCTCTCTCTATTCACCCCATTTTTTCTCAGGACTCTATCTTGCAAGTGAACCTCACTCAACCCAGTTGTGCTAGCAGTTGTTCCGAAAGGTAAGCATAAGAGAATTGTATATGAGGCATGGGGAGCAGAGGGCAACCGGCATTGCAATCGGGAAGATGTTTTCATGGGAGAATGCTGCATGTTAGTCAGAGTCACATTTCCGGCTACTGTTCTCATAAAAAAAGGGGAAATGCTTAATATTCATTTGACTGACCACTCTAAAACATCCTCTGTTCCAGACCAGAAGCTTCACATCCCTCCTTTCCCTATGGTTTTCCTCTGAGAAAGATTCCATCTTCAGTCTTCAAGCTGACAGTTTGTTAAACTGAGAAGCAAAAAGGAGAAAGAAATGGAAAACATAATGTTCATGATTACTTTGCATATTAGGGTTCAGTCCTAGTATTGGGTATAATTCCCAAGTCTCCCCTAAGATCAAATTAATACCTTCCAAGTGTATCAGTCCTGATGTTTTCAGTTTGTTCTCAACTGGAAAGCCAAAAAAATCCATGGAAAGAATTCTGCCTGGTGATCCATACATCTCCCACTCTGTTTCAGAGCTAATAGTTCCCAGCTGGGATCAGGGATAGCCAGGCAGGAAGTAACTATTTGGGTGAGTGATTCCTACTTCTTATCTGTTGCCAAGGTGGGCCTGGGAAAAGGCAGAGTGAAGTAGAAGTTTCTTTTGTGAGGCTGAAGCCATGGAATTCTGCTCCAAGAGAAAGCTGGGAGAAAGGGGCGGGGGGGGGAGTGAGATAGAAGCAGGGAAATGTGAAAATAGAAGACATAAGAAGAACCTGGGAATGTACTTAATTTTTACTTGAACCCCAAAGACTAATCATAGTACGAGAACAAATCAAATAGAAATAGAAAAGTACTTGATAATGCCTTGAACACCTGCAAAGATAAATCGTATCTGCAGTAATTTCTGAGATTGGACTATCTGCAATGTGTTATAAGGAATCATGAATAGGGAGGAGGAGGAGGAGGAGGCATTCTCTTCCCTTCCTTTCCTCTCCCACACCCCGCGCTTTCTCTCTCGATGCACAGATGCCAAGATCTCTCTTTCTACATATCTTCCCCGCTCATCTCAGGCAATCCAGCCAGCATCCTCTCCTCAGCTGAGCTCCTTCATTTCCCAAATTCTTGGCAGCCCTTCTATATAAACAGCTTATTTTTAGTTTGAGGTTAACAGTGCAAAATCTCAGACTAGTTTCCCAGCACTGTGGAAGAAATGGGATTGAGGGGCAATATTATTCCTCTTTCCTTATAAAAAGGGGGAGACTTGGGAATTATATCCCAATATGAGAATAAAAGTGTACAGAAGAGATAATCTACTGAGAAAGCACCTGATGGTTTTCCAAAACTTCTCAGGCTCATCTTTGCAAAACCATTGGTGTTGGTAATACAGTGCTGCTGTTATGACTTAAAATCTAACTGCCATCAGTGGTGACTCCTGATCCATCAAATGAAAGCCCATGGGTTGGGATAGATAACATCAGGAGCCCAACAAATTGTTGTTGTTGGGTTTTTTGGGGAGGGGGGAATTGAAAGAGATGGGTTTAATCTTATGGAAAGATCAATCAATCTCCTTTCATTTGTATTGATATAGGTCTGACTAATGCCTGTTTTTTCTTCTCTGTTTGCTGCCTTCAGGTCTTTGCCAGTAACTGAAGAGACTCACAGTCTTATCACAGAGAACTGTGGAAGGATGCAATATGAACCTGATGCTATTGTGAAAGGTGGGAACTTAGATTCAAGTTTGTTTGTCTCCTCCCCCCCCCTTTTTTATTTTTTTAAAAAAAGTAATCTAATGATCTTAAATCTGAAAGGACTCGGCTTTTTTTTCATCTTCCAGGCTGGCTGCAGAGAGAGGTCCGAGGAGGTATTAAAACTCCCTGGCTGCGTCCTCGCAAATACTGGTTTGTGTTGACAGAAGATTCCCTAGACTACTACAGCGGGTGTGAGGTGAGCGCCCAACGCCTTGGATCCCTTGTTCTCACTAGCCTCTGCTCTGTGCTGTGGCCTGACAAGCAAACCTATAAGGAAACAGGTAAAGATTGTCTGCTCTCGGATAGTTAAAGAATTTTGTGCTCAGTTTTAATACCATTGTAGTTTCTTTGTGGCAGCAGGAATGAATGATTTCAGCAAAGGCTTGGTTTTTGAGTTTTCTTACCAGGCTGTGGTCAGCTACTAACATATTCAAATTCTATAGATTTACTTAAGAAGCATTTTTAATTTTTGCCACTTTTTGCATAGTAAAAATATAATCCATGCATTTTAAGAAAATAGGTCAAATTTCCTTACACTTGCCTATGTTTATCTTCATATTAATTATATATGAGTACTTCTGTCTCCCATTCCTCCAGGCTACTGGGCAGTGACAGTTTTTGGCAGAAAGCACTGCTACCGACTCTATACAGAACATTTAAATGAAGCTGTACACTGGGTTTGTGCTTTGCAGAAGGTTATCATCAGCAAGGCCCCTTTGCAGACCCCCACACAACTCCTCATGCATGACATTGAGGTGAGGAACCAAATGAGCACAAAGACATGTTGTTGGGAGTAGGAATGGGGACATGGTTAACTGGCAATAGGAATCTGGGAGAGGATTTTGGCAAAAATAATCAAGGAAACATGTGGTGATTTTTCTCTGAAGTGGGGACAGAAAACAATAATCACATGCAATGTTTTGAGTGGGCCAGGAACTCAGTCCTTTATGGTTAAATTGATAGCTTTGATTTCAATGTAATGTTAAGTGCATCAAAATATTTTGATATTTACTTTTTAAAACCATATGGCAATGAGCAGATCTTATTCAGGAGGATGCTATGAATAGTCATTAAATTAAATTTCAGTAAGTTATTTGTAAGTGTAAAGATACAGTCCTCAACTTATGACCACAACTGAGCCCAAAATTTCTGTTGCTAAGTGAAACAGTTGCTAAGTGAGTTTTGTTTCATTTTACAACATTTCTTGCCACCGTTGTTAAGTGAATCACCACAATTGTTAAATTAGTAACACGGTTATTAAGTGAATCTGGCTTCTCCATTGACTTTGCTTATTGGAAGGTCACAAAATGTGATCACATGACCCTGGAACACTGCAAATGTCATAAATATGAACCAACTGTCAAGTTGTCTAAATTTTGATCACATGACCATGGAAATGCTACAATGATCATAAATATCATAAACAATCATAAGTCACTTTTTCGGTGCTGCTGTAACTTCGAATAATGATTAAATGAATGGTTATAAATCGAGGACTACTTTTATTTCTGTTATTTAATTTCAATTCATCTCCACAGCTGTACTATTGTATACATATTTTGTCCATTTCTCCTAAGGCTTTCATTATAAAATACAGATGGAGATTGGAAGATTCTTGAAGCCTCTGGGTCAATCACAGATAACGGCAATTACTGAAGTGCCATTCCCTTTACAAAGACAACAGCCATCTTAGCACATTCTGCTTAGGAGGATGCTATGTTGGAATATGGCAACTCTAGAGACTGGACCTTAGTTCTAACAATTTTGCATGAGGAACCTGATGTTAATTTCAGTAATCTTATTAAGTAGAAATATAGACTAAATCTCTCCCCTCCTCCCATTTTCCTCTTTCTATTGCAGGAGAACCGCGACAGCCCAGAAATCTTGGATCAAATTTATCGCAATAATCCCATCCTATGTTATACAGCTGGCCCAATTTATGCACCTCTTCTGCCCTTCCCTTATGCAGGTGGGTAGCTAGTAATCAGAATCCATAACTTATTGACTTCATTATTTGTTGCATGCTAAAGTTGTGTTACTTGTGGTCTTTCAGGAGCATGGCCCTGAGGGGCCCTCCAAAACTCATCACCTCACTAAAGTTTAAGATACCAGAAATGAAACATTGTTAAATGTTAAAAAAAATATTATATCAACTATATTGAATTTAAATGAAAACAAATCTCAAAAACTCAATATTTAAAGACCAAATGCAGTACTTGACTTAAATACAAACTGTGTGCATGAAATATTCCAATTCTCTGCCTTACAGAGGAGAAAATAAGAGCAAGTGCTTGAGCAGATCTTAAATGTATAATACCTAATTGTTGTTTTTTTCTTATCTTCTTCCTCTCATCCCACCTTGCCCAATTTTGCAGCTCAGGGTGGCCAAGGTTATGCAGGGCTTCGTGATGAAGCTGTCAAACTCTTCCATTCACTACAACAGCTTGAAGAAATGCGAGATCCAATCCTTCTCATGCAGGGGGTGCTGCAAACTTGCCATGACCTTCCAGCCCTAGTGGATGAAATATTCTGCCAACTGGTGAAACAGACAACAGAGCCACCTATTACAGGGGCACCCACAGATTTGCGCTATTGGCAGCTGCTTGTGTGTATGAGCTACACATTTATACCTTCTATGCCTATACTCTGCTATTTGCATCTGCATCTACAGCGGTGAGCCAGGGAAATGGGAAACAGTGCAAAACATGTCTAATGCAGAAGTGGAAACTTGGGATATTCCATCTGTTGAGGAATTACAACTCCTAGCATCGTTCACTATTAGCTTTGCTAGTTGGTGCTGCTGGTAGGTGTAGTTCAGCAATAGTGGGATGGCCGTGAGTTCCCATTCTTAATGAAATACTTTGGTCACAAACTTTCAGCACTGAATGCAGAGCAACTAGCAAAGACTATTTCACACAATCTGAGGGAAGTGAAAGGGTGGGAGAGTCCCTGTTCAACATCCTTCTTTGTTTTATATGCAGGAGGATGTGAACAAAGATGTCCTCCCTTTTTAATGTGTCCAGAGACAACATGATTTCAGTTGCCAATAAATTTCCATTAAGTCTGCTTATGGTCTAGAAGGCAGGAAGTGGATTAGAAAGATAATTCATTTGACACATTTGAGCAATGTGCAAGGCAGGCCTTTAGAGAGAATATTTTTGTAGGTGCAGTATTATTTATACATCTGTTTCTTTATTCTTCAGTTTGATCGGAACATTTAATGAATAATATTTGAAAAAATAGCTTCAACCCAGGAGCCTCTGAAACCCTGAAATATGTCCCCCAGTCCAAACCTTCCAAACAATTTCATGTGTTAGTAATTTTTTTTATTTTGTTCAAAAAGTTAAAATACAAATTCCAAGAAATTAACAACAAAAACTGTGCATTAAAGAGAACAAAAAACAAAACATGTACAATTATTATCCCCTCTGTTTGATTACTGATAATTATATTGCAGCAATGTTAGTTTCTCCCCCTTGCGAAGCTGGCCCACAATCAATAAACTTCTATATCTATTTACAACCAACTTAGCCTGTCATCTATCTACTATATGTAAAAACAAAATAGTTAACAGATAAATCAATAGCAAAGGTAAACCTCAAAGCCCTCTGTTAACTATCTCTCATATTTAACATAGAAAGTCTACAGTGGCTTCTCCCACAAATCACCACAATCATTATCTCTGATCCATTCGGGATCAAATATCTTCATTTTGTTTTTAATAATAAAACTTTCCCTTAAGATTTTTAGTGGAAGTTTTCCCAACAATACCTCTTCCAATATTCTACACCTCTGTTGTAAATATCTCCACCACATCCATTGTTGAAGCAGTCTCACTGTGAACCAAGATATAAAGTCTCTTGTCAGTTTTTGTTTGGTTAGGTATAATCGATCGATCTTCCCAGGAACATCAAGTCCAAATTATTTACCAATATGGCATGATAAGTCCATCTTCTTAACAGAGTCCAGTTGATCAGTCATCAAATTTGCCAATTCTAAGTCTGTAAAATCCAGATCTTCAAATTTCTGCAACAGGCCTTCTGCTTTCCAGCCAAACTACTCCAAATCTGCCATCATAGACTTAGATTACAGTCCATCCATTTGTCAGTCTGGCTTGGTTATATTTGTTTACATCTGGGTATTCTCTTTAGGTCGATTTGAAACCCAGGTAATTTTATTAAGCTTTTAACCAAAGTTTTCAATTTGAAGTTGTAGATTAAAAAACATTTTTCTGTGAAGATAGCCCACCAGACTTTATCTTTAGCTTGATCCATTATTTGCATTTTTAATATAAGGCAGACTCTCTTGTATTTGAACTTATACAACCAATGAAAACAATTCCTTTCTAAAACGAAAAGGATAAATGTAACAAAATAGCTACATAGAACATTGAAGAAGAAAAAAAGGAAAAGCTCCATCAAAAATTTAAAAAGAAAAAATCCAGACCAGAGCTTTTTAAAAGTTAAATTCTGCAGTGAAATCCCATATAGATGTGAATCCAGTCTGGTTGGTCTCATTACTGAGAAAGTTGCCAGTGAAAGCCAAAGAAGCTCACAGTGGGGGAAAAAACCAAAAACAATAAAGCAAAGAAGGAAAGTTAACATTAAAATCCAGCAAGGGGTTAGAGTAAATCAGCCTTCAACCAGTCAATTAACTTTTAAAAATAAGAATTAAAAAAATAATATGCATTTAAAAGTGAAGATGTGCTTAAAAAAACGAACAGCTGAAAGGAAAGATGTAGACTGGGATTCTCCAACTGCCCCTACTAGGAATTGCAACATCCAGGATTCCTCTTCCCAGGAGGGTCCATGGTTGTCCAAGAGTCCTAGCTGCTCCCATTTGAGCCAGCAGCCAAAGAACTTTCTTTGGCAGCAAAATCAGCTGTTTGTCAGCAAGAGAAGCAAATCCCCATCACCATCACCACTCAGTCTGCCATCTTGGAGGGAAGTTGGTGCAGTATTCTAATTAATGAAACTTAATGGAATTACTCACCTAATACTTTATCTTCCCTGACCCAACAGGATGGAGAAATTGTTCCCAAGATCACCAGTGACCCACTATGGACATTTAATCACACAAGCTCTGCACAAAAGCAAAGGGCGGGAGTGTGTGCCCTCCTTGGATGAGATTGTAGCACTAATAGGAAGCCAGGAAATCCCACACTCCATGCATTGTACTGGTACTACCACCTATTATGTGGCCATCACATCTAATGCTACAGCCCAGAAGGTGAGCAGATTACTTAATTGGTGAGATGCAAAAAAGGCTGCACGTAGGATATAACTGATGCTGGCAATGTAACTTTTATCTCTTCTTGGAAATAGCAAGTTCTACAACTCTAGTTTCTTACCAACAGCCAGGAATTAGGCTTATATAGTGTGTTTCCCCGAAAATAAGACCCAACCAGAAAATAAGCCCTAGCATGATTTTTCAGGATGCTCCAAAGCCTCCAAAAATAAGCCCTAGTTAAGATTGTCAGCCAGGCAGATGCATTTAGTACCATATTTCTACGAATATAAGCCCTAACCAGAAAATAATAAGCCACAATGCATCTTTTGGAACAAAAATTAAAATAAGACCCGGTCTTATTTTGGGGGAAACATGGTAGCATCATTTAACTATGTAGTCTGGTAGAACAATTACATTTGGCTTTTTATTCTCCATATAAATTGCTAAATCATTTTCTTCCTCTCCTCATCCCATTTATTTTTCTTCAGCATGTTTGACACTGATGTTTGCAGCACTGAGTACTTTCCTACTGGACATTATTAGGCCTTTTGTCATCCCTTCCTTTGTCATCTTATCCCAGATGACTCAAGAACTGATGTTGCATTTAGGTGTGGCCTGTATCTCCAATTCATTTATCTTCCACATGGAGAACTGGCAGCATAAGCAATCCTGTTCAACAAATGTACTAAATAGTTTTATCAGGTTTGAAAAAAATTCCCATAAAAATATGTGTATCAGTTATAGCTAAATTGAGAAAAGGGACCAAGAGTTGACAGTATGTTTAGAATCTTCATTGTAAAACAACAACAACGAGGTATGGAGCATGTCTGGCTGCAGCAACCAGTATGGCATCAGATTGGCTTATATGAGAGACCAGCTATCCCCAATTACATCTATCAATTAGATTCTTCAGAAGAGGCATGATCTGGGTCCCACCTGTAAGGGAATGCAATCAGGTGAGATCCAGGAAGGGAGGCCTTTTATACCTTGGTTGCAGATTGTGTTGTCTAAGTTTTTATTTAATCATTTTTATATTGTACTTTGTTTTTAAACATTATTGGGCAACAATTAAATAATGTATTTGAGAGATGATATAAAATAGATGAATGAATGAATACATAAATAAGAGTAGCTTGCTTTTGTAGTGAAGAAGCCTCTCTTTGTCAGGTTGGGATAGAACTAAGCAAAATAAAAATTCGAATTTGCAAGACTTTAAAGCTATAATTTGGAAACAATGCATTCTGTAAGTCAAAAACCCCTATTGTTAACTTTGAAAGGAGATGTCTGTCCCTACCCCAATGGACTGACTTTCTTGCCTAAATGTTCTAGCTATGGTGGACAGGCATTATACTGGAGATCTTGAAACTATGGTTCAATTACAAGGGTGTCTCAATCCTTTGCAGCAGCCAACAGTGTGCATTGCTTTTTAGTGCTGGAGATAAGGGTCATCCTGTGTGAGAGATCAAGCCCAAAGTGGAGAATTTTATTCCAAAATTTAGCCATACAAGCTGTCCACTAGTAATAGTTTCCTATCTTTAAGGAGACACTCAGAATTTGAAGGGCAACTTTGTTATATCCCTGCTTCAGTTTTGTATTAACCTGCTTTATTCTTATTCAACACCCTTTATTCTTCAGCATCATATAATTACACACTATTACCTGCCTCCAGGGCCTTTTGTGTTAGGGCATTGTCTGTTGGATTTTGGATCTTCTTTGGCCAAACGATAAGTAGAGAAGCAAGAACATCTACATAGCGGTACCCTGAAGGCCATTTCTCTGATGTGGGTCATCATCTGTTAAAGAAATGGAGTATGGGACAGCTGAAGGCATGGAAGCCTCTTTGAATCAGTCTGGAAAGTGATTAGCTCTGCCCTTTCCAGCTTATCCTCAGGTGAGTTACTCCATCTGGAGAATATGAAAATAGATTGGTACCAATTTGGACAAAGCCGCATGTGAAAGAGCAGACGAAAATATTTTAAGAATTTGGTTAGGTTCTTGATTAGGACTAGGAATTATTCTTCTATTAAGAATAGTTGATACATATGAGAATTGTCTAGAGGCAACTGAGATTGTGTGATATCATTTTAACATCTCTTGATGGGTGAGTTTTGCTTTAATATATTGCTGCAAACATCCATTGTTCCTCTGCCTTCATACATAGTTAACCAATGTATCTTATTCCCAACCCCTGCTAATTTTTTCTGTTAACAATCTATATATCTTGTCCAAAAGGTTGAAGGTTTGTTCAGTACAAGGAACCAGTAACAAATGTAGGGTATTGAAGACCAAAAGCTCTGCACTCCTATACTATTCTGAATCCAGCTCTGCTACAATGTATGATGTTTGATTAATGCATATGTTAAATATTTAATATAAAAGTGTAAGAACATGATTGCTTGTACTCAGTTTATATATCTATAAACCCCATATGTGGTTTGTTTAACATGGCAAGTTAGTTTTACCCAACTTTAGCAAATCTGAACAAAAAATGTATCCTTACTAGGCTGCTAATTAGCTATGCATGCTAGTTGACTGAAGCAAACTAAGTTCCACTGACAGTTCCGTTTGTTCGGCATTCCAATTTTTCACACTCAGAAGAGCTGCAACGTGGTATTTCCAACTGTATGTTCTGTGTCTTTGACATTTCTCCAGCTTTTCTGACTGAAAGGATGTACTGTATACCAAACTCTTCTTTAATTTTCTCTTTGTTTTGCAGTTGTCCAAGAGATGGAAGGTATTTGGAAGGCAGTTATATCCTGGGAGGACACTAGTGTTTATCTGCCTCCAAAGACCTGTTGCTTTCTTTTTTTAGATGAAGACAATTCTGCAGCATCAACAGATAAGCATGTTCAGCTTCAAGAACTCCAAGTAATCACACAAACAGGGAAATATTCCCCAAAATGCCAGTGGTAGAATTTTGAGTTGACTCCTATGTATCCTGGCAGGAGTCTTAGATCAGCATATATTCTGGTCATTGAAAGGAATAATAGTGATATTGTTCGCTCCTAAGGAGCTGATAAACTATGTCTTCTATATCAGTGGCCCCCAACCTTTTGGGCACCAAGGACCAGTTCTGTGGAGAGAGGTTTTTCCATGGACCGGAGAGAATGTGGTTTCGCGTGCCATGGATGGGGCTTTGCTTGTTTGCATGGCCCGGTTTCTGGCATGCCGCAGAGGGGTGCCAGTCCTCAGACCAAGGGTTCGAGACTCCTGTTCTATACAGAGGGATTCTTCGTTTCCATGACTGTTTTGATTAAATACTTTTTGTACAAAGTGTCTTCTTGTTCTGTTCTCCTGTGTAAAACAAAACAACCCTTTGTTTCAAAGAAAGCTGAAGACAGTTTTATTGCTTTCCCTTTCCTTCATCTAAATGATAGCTGGTATACTATTCCTACTGACACAGTCTATCAAACAAAGGTTATAGAAATTAGTCAGAGCCATTATTTTCTCCCCTTTGGTTGCCTCTTAAGAATATATATTGAGGGATAAAGAAATAATAATTATTTAGAGGTAGTCCTTGATTTAAAGGTCATGCATTCAGCAACTGTTTGAATAAAGACTAAACAAAGGGACTAACAATCCCTGCCCAAAGATACGGGCGCTGCATCACTCCTGTGTCATATGAACAAAATTTGGATGTTGGCAATCCTCCTGCTCTTATGGATTGCATTCTGGATATTATGTTTAGGAAGGAGAGCTGGCCTATCTGCCTCTCAGCTTCCCTCCATATTAGGAGATTGTGGCCTCAGTTTGAGGAAGTCCACAAGTGTGGCAAGCTATGAAAGGGTGAGAAGGAGAGTGCGGACCCAGCAGGTTGGGAAGCAGAGCACGGGCTGCTTCAGAGTAGGGGGGTAACCAGGGCAGGCCATATGAGAGTTGAAGAGGTGCTGCAATGGACGCCTGGCCTGCACTAGGTATCCCAGCACCTCCCACCCCTGAAGCACCCTGTGGTTCACTTGATGACCACAATGGGGAGAGCAGAGATTGGGGTTGTAAAGGCAATCATGTAGGCACCTTAATGACTATTATAATCAGTAACTAATAGTGGGTTCCATTACTGTTGTAAGTTGAGGACTACCTGTGGCCTTATTGTGGGGTGCTGATTAAGATATATTAAAAGGATGGCTACAAACCGTACACATTAAAGCCAAAGAATACCAGCATTTTTTCCAAGCATTTGCACCTTGTTAAACAGTGAACATCATAACCTACTTTATATTCTCTTTCCACAGGAATCCAGAAATTATGAATGTGAAAGCAAAAAAAAATGCTTCTAAATACTTGCAGTTATTTTCCACATAAAAAGAATTATTTATGCAATAGATAAAATATTCTTTAAAAAGCTAATAACTTTCTTAAAATTAAGCACTGTTCTGCTTTCCTGATCAACACAAACATAAAACCAGAAGATACAAACTCTCCCAAATACCAAGGTGCTGACTTTTCAAAATTAAACCCCCGACATGCACAATGCTATAATAAAGCATCATCTTTTTTCTTTACATTTCCCCAAAATTAGGCTAATAGCAATCTAGTTTCTAAAATTCTTTCTAAGTCTTTAACAACTGCTCTATTTTAAATCACATGACCAGGAGAGAAGGGAGGGGCTTAAAAATAGCAAGGTCAGTAACATACTGAGACACTGCTCAAAAGCCTCTCCCATAGGTATGCACTGGGTGAAGTTCTTCTGGATTATTTTTCTCCACAGTGCTAAATTGCTTTGGCTTACTTTCTAATCATTCTTTGGCCATAGCAAATCTGTTCCCGTTCTGTTTTTGGAAAACTATCCTGCTGATTGGCAAGCAGGCAGGCAGAATCCCAAGTTTCTTCACATACTTTTCTCTCTGACATTCCATTGGGCAGGAAAGAATAAAAAGGATAGTGAACATATTATCCCTCCGTGAACCCAGTCTACTGTATGTTTTTTTGTCAGTTAGCTTTTGGTATAAAGCAAGATTATATTTAATCAGTTCTGGGATAAATATGGAATTACTATAAAATTCTTCTTTTTCAGGACAGGATCAAATGGAGGCATTTGCTTAGCTACTTTCAGGGAGGAGAAAAGATGGGGAAAAATTAAGTAGAATTCATTGAAGTTCATTAAAAATGCTCCCAACTCCCAGGTGATCAACTCAAAGTGCCATGGGCAATAGAAGGATTATTGACACAGAAGCAGACAGATTAACTACTGAAAATCACTGTGGCAGGTAAATAGCAGAAGAATAAAGTATGCTAGCTCAAATGATATGAAGTCTTGATTGTTATGACAATTGTAATTCCTCTGTCACTGACAAAATGGAGCAGTATTTGCCCAAGTAGCTTCACAATCAAAGTCACTATGCTTCCTCATTGCTGGCATAGATATCCACTGCCTGGCTTACCCTTCCTGTTTTAATCTGTCTTCATCTATTATATGCTAATGGAGTTGCAGATTAAATGCTGAGTAATATAAATTGCCAGAAACTTATGCAGGAAATACAGGTTTGGATTATTTTAAAACGCCTATAGATATTTCTCTTCATTATCCATTCAGAGATTTCCTCAGCAGAAACGTGCAAATAAAAATAGCTTAAAACAGAAAAAGCATTTGAAGAATGTTAAAAATAAACAAAAAAAACAGGCATATTGCTTGATGTTAACTTAGCCAGATTCCTTTAGAAAGGAGAAAGCTGGGGTTAATGATAGCTCACCAAGTAGATGGGGCGTTGACTTACCTGAACGCCTTTTCTCAGCAGGATGATGTAGAGTCCAATGGATGGGTTCTATGACAGCCTTCCTGCCCAGCAGACTGGGTAAAAAACTTTGGCCACACCCCTTCCTCTGGGCGTGACCCCAGTTTTGACTTAGGCGAGAAACTTTGTTGGAATCAATATTGCAGCTCTTTATTACCTACCTGCCTAGACCTAACCCCTGGGTGGGCTTGGACTCTACATCATCCTGCTGAGAAAAGGCGTTCAGGTAAGTCAACGCCCCTTCTCCAGCAGGATGGCTGTAGAGTCCAATGGATGGGACATACCAAAGCCCTCATGTCCCCCTGGGAGGGAAGTCTAGGCTACCGAATTCTGAGCAGATACGACTTGCTGTAGCACTCTTCTACCAAAGGCAGCATCTGATGCAGCCAGGGAGTCTAAACGGTAATGCCGGATAAAGACAGACGGTGAAGACCACGTCGCTGCCTTACAAATTTCTTCTACCGGCGCTTGTGTTAGCCACGCCGCCGAAGTGGCTGCGCTCCGTGTTGAGTGGGCAGTCACATGTGCGGGTGCTGGTAGTTCCTGCGAGACGTAGGCCTGGGCTATGCAGGCTCTGATCCACCTACCTATGTGGAAGAAGACACCTTCTTTCCCATAGATGATGGTTGAAAGGAAACAAATAATGCTTCTGTCTTGCGGAATGTCAACGTGCGTTTCACGTAGAAACACAGCGCTCTACGCACGTCCAGCTTGTGCCATCTATGCTCTAGCCTGTGTTTGGGTTTTGGGCAGAAATCGGGAAGAATCAATTCCTGAGATCTGTGAAAGATGCTGTTTACCTTCGGAATGAAGGCCGGGTCTGGCCTAAGGACGACCCTGTCCTTGAAGAAGGTACACAGATCCTTCCTTACTGATAGTGCCGCTAGTTCTGAAATTCTTCTTGCTGAAGTGATTGCCACGAGGAAGGCCACCTTCAGTGATAGGTGGTGAAGAGAACATGAATCAAGGGGCTCAAATGGTGCTGATGTCAAGGCTAGAAGGACTTTAGGCAGGTCCCAAGACGGGTACCTGTGAATGACGGGGGGCTTTGTGTTGGACGCCCCCTTTAAAAAGGCGCTAATCACTGGATGTTGCGCTAGGGATGTCAAGTTGTCGCAAGAGAGAACAGTTGAGAGGGCCGATATCTGTCTGCGAATAGTGTTGACTGACAGGCCCTTGTTAAGACCCTCCAGGAGGTAATCTAGAATATTGGGGATGGATACTGTAGCTGGATCTAGGCGCACAGAAGCGCACCACCTACAAAAGCCTTTCCATGTAGCATCGTAAATCCTGTTCATGGACGCTCGTCGTGAAGCTTGTATGATCGATATCACCCCTGCCGAGTAAGCTTGCTTGGCTAAACTTTGCCGCTCAAATGCCAAGCGGCTAGTTGTAGCCACTGGGGGTCTGGGTGCACAAACTTGCCCTGGCTGAGAGTTACTCTGTCCGGGGGAATCCTCCACGGGGGTGATATCGAAAGGTCCATGAGGTCGGCAAACCACGGGCGCCGTGGCCAATGCGGGGCAATGCAGACTATCTCTGTGCCTTCCCGGATCAGCTTGCGTATGGTCGCCGGTATTAAGGGCAATGGTGGGAAGGCGTACAGGAGATGCGCCGGCCACCGACACCTGAGAGCATCCGTTCCCTCCGACCCCGGAGACGGGAATCTGGAGAAGAACCTGGGGAGTTGTGTGTTCTTGTGGTTGGCAAATAGGTCCAGGTGCGGTTGCCCGAATCTCCGGGAGATCTCCTCGAACAGAGCCGGATCCAGGTGCCATTCCGCCTGATCCACCTTGGCTCTGCTCAGGCAGTCTGCCTGGGTGTTTGCCTCCCCCGAGATGTGTTCTGCCTTGATAGAACTCACGTTGGTTTCTGCCCACCAAGCCAGAGCTAATGCCTCCTTCATTAGTTCCGCTGATCGTGTTCCCCCTTCCTTGTTTACATGGGCCTTAGCTGCTACATTGTCCGTTAACACGAGGACGTGCCTCCCTGTTACTAGATGTGAGAAATGGCGTAGGGCCAGGTGGATGGCCCGGAGCTCTAGCCAATTGATGCTGTGTGAGAGGTCCTTCTGGTCCCACTGGCCCTGTGCTATCTGGGTTCCCAAGTGGGCTCCCCATCCGAACCGGCTCGCATCTGTCGTGAGCGTGACCCTGTTCGGCTCTTTGAATATACTCCCCTTGAGTATCTTGGGAGATATCCACCATTTCAGAGATCTCATCACCTGTGCTGGTACCAAGACCTTCCTGTTGGAGGTGCTGAGATTCCTCCTCTGGTAGGGTAGGAGGAACCACTGCAACTCCCTCGAGTGGAGTCTTGCCCATGGTATAATGCCCATGCAAGATATCATCTTTCCCAGGAGTTTCGAGAGCTGTATCAAGGGCACTCTCCTGATTCTCTGAATTTGTTGAATTAGCTTGGATATGCTGATTCGTCGATCCTGGGAAAGAGTCTATTACTGCGCCTAGGTGTTGCAGTCTCCTTGAGGGAGTGAGATGACTTTTGGCCAAATTGACCGAGAATCCATGCCCCTGCAGGGCTCGG